GGTTGAAAGGGACCTCTGGAAATCATCCAATTCCAACCTCCCTGCATGACCAGGGACACCTAGACCACGTTGCACAACCTCATGTCCAGGCAGATTTGGTTTTGAGTATCACCAGAGGAGACTCCACAAAATCTCTGAGCAGCCTGTTCTGGGCATTAGTTCTTCCTTGTTCCATTTTATTTCTTCTTTTTTTGAAAAATATCTGTTTGTTATTCTCAGCCCTCTGAGATCTCAATTATCCGCCACATATTTTTAATGATAATTTAGGATTATGCTGATAACAATGGTTCGGAGACTGCTTTCAATATTGCTTAAGAGTATTATTCTTTTCTCAATATTTTTAAGAAGGGGACAAAAAAAGGTATTGAATACTTCAGCTTCCCCTACTTTCCTATTTCTTTCATCCTCATTAAGTAACTGGCCAAAATTTTTCTCACATCTGTTACTCTCAAAAAGTTCTGTTTTGTCTTTATTTCTTGCCATTCCAACTGTACATGTCTTTTTTTATATTCATATTTGAATGATGTCATGAGAGATCTTTGCTTACTTTTTAATAACGTTATAATTTTCTGGAAATAAAAAAAATCGCCTGAAGCTGCCATATTGGCCTCTGATCATATTCATTTATTTCCTTCCTATTAGGAAGGCTTGCTACTGGACTTGAATAAAGAGAAGCAGTTCATAGACTCTTTCCAAAGTGACCACTTCTACCCAAGTCTAAGTTTACTGTTTGTTTTTCTGTGAGGCAGAATTAAATCTTCATGTGTCTCCTCTTTTACATTTTTAAGGCATGGATTTTAGATAAGTTTCAAAACTTCCGTTTTATTTTTATTATGTGAGGGTAAGCCATATAGCAACCTGACCAAACGCAAATTCTGTTTGGTTTCAAAGGATGCAAATTCTAGGCACAGAGCAGTCTGCGGCCTAGAAGAAAAAAAAAAAAAAAAAAAGAAAAAAAAACACAACAACACTTACCCCCTGAGAGTTCCAGAATTCTGCTCCTATTTTGAGTTAAGGCAGTTGATTTCTGGACACAGGCAGATAAAACCATGGCAGCACTTTCCAGCTTTACTTCCTGCTCCTCCTGACAAAGAATACATGTCAGAACTTCTTTCTCAGCAACAGACGGACCTCGTTTGGGACCCAAAGCAATTCTGGAGTGATCTATTGCCAAAGACATGCTGTAAGAACATAAGTGACAAGTATAAAATAATCAGCTGGCTTTTTCTTGGCATCTAAAACCATAATTTACTGCTAACATTTCTTGTTTTATACCAAAGTGTGTGCTTTAACAAAACAGAATGATGAAGAAATGCCTCGGTCTTCACTAAATGCAGTTAAAAGTAGAAAGCATTTAATGTAGCAAAAAACACATTGAAACGGATACAGCAGGATATTGAGAAAACTGTGCTCAATATAAATTGTATTAGACATGTTTTAATCTTAAAGAATTCTTGGAGAAAGCATACTAAAAATGAATGCCACTACTTTATTCAATGCTTTGTGAAGTTATAAACTTCTGTACAGTGTTAAATGAGACATACTTCCAAGTATTAATAATTTTTGTTCCACAGAATTCAACGATGATTTAGATAGTATCACATTTTAAAGATCAAAGCTCACAGAAGTGATCATATCTTTGTTTCCTTTAGCAGATATCTCTACTTTCCTGATTAGTTCTATGCATCCCCGATTAGGCTAAATTGTAATTAGTGCTGGGCATACCACACTGCTCAAGTGCCTCCAGAATGGAAGCAACTCATAGTGAAGCCAGAATTTTGTTGCTAAGACAGCTAAACATCCCTTTCCTTGCACTATCCTCCCAAAGTACAAAAGGCCATTCCAGAACACATGAAGCTTTGCTTCAACATCCACAGGCTGTGGATGAGCACCTTGACGGAAGGTGTCAGTAATAAGTTGTTCTGCATCACACTGCTACCCATGCAGTCGGGCTAACAGAGGTTTGTGGCATCAAATGCGGAGATTACTGCAAGTGACTGCTAGCAGCACTCACATGCAGCAATGCTACCCTCATTATCCATCACTTATGAACACCACCACTCTTTCGGTTGTAATTTGGTCTATATTTTCAAAATCCGCCTGGTAATGCGGTGAATTTCCTCTAGATCTGACTCATTAAAATAAAATATATTAAAAATCTAATAGGAAGAATCTACCTACAAAAAGCATCAATCAAATAAATTCAGGAAACGCACTAAAAAGACAAGCATACATTAAATTTGTGTCAAACATTAAAATCATGATAACGAAAATAGCTGTTAATACGCACTAATATTAGGATTTATGTTATCAGATTAAATAAGTTGTTTCTCCAGGAAAAGTAGCCAGCCTGTAAAATTCCAAGTGCCTCCAGTATGAAATTTCATGTGAATAGTCAACAAACAAAAAAATAGCACCTACAAGAGTTACAAGAGCCACAAGAAGCAGGTCTTCACTAAAACCTAACTTGAGTGCATAGTGCCTTTTAGATTTTTTTTCCAAATCAGATACTTGGAAGTTTTCACACACAGCAGACAATCACCTCCAAAATTACAATGACATCAAACTCCGCAGTTTTCTAATGACATTTTTCAAATGTTTGGTAATATATGCATCTTTCACTTGAAGATATTGCTTTTTTACAGTTTTTCTTATCCATCAACTTTTCCAACATTAAATGTTACTACATATATAATTCTGTACTAGAAGACAACTTAAAAAATGACACAAGTTTGCTGACCGTTGTTTGCGTGTACTCGCAATTTTTACGGAGCAGAACCACTTAATCAATCAACTCTTCCCATCAGAACTCGCGATATGCCCTTTTTCTTACCTTTCTTCCTCCATGATAGCATCTTCTTTTCCCTGAGTCTCTAGGGTATTTTCATACAGGAGCTTGTGGGTTTCAATGAAATTCCTCTGCAGAGCAGACATCTGGGCCATTATCTTCTGACGATGCAACCTGGCTGCTTCTGCCTTTCTCTTCCGCTCAGCTTTCTCTTTGTCCTGAGTGCTCTGTGTCTTACACAAAAAGAGAATAAAGAAATCGCAGGTGAGCGAGAACATTAAAAAAAAAAAAAAAAAAAAAAAAAAAGG